ATTATGTGTGGGTTAAAGGTTGACCTTGAGCCTTGATATTATTGGACTCTGTTTTTGATGACAGTGCTTTGAAGATGCCATGGTGTACGGAGCTGGCAAGAACCAGGAATCCTACGCAGCTCCTCACGCCTGTGTAGAACTTGGCTCGTTACTCGTCAGTAAACCTCTGGTAAGATCTAAAGCACAGCACCAAGCCATTCGCAATCCAGAATGAAAGTGATTTTCCTCCATACTAGTTTCACCTAAATGTCCGGGTTTCTCAAGGGCTGTGTGTTTCTGTTTTTCATCTTCAGACGGCCAGCAAGGGGAAGTCTCTTCTTCTTCGAGCCAAGGACCACTACAAAGACTACGACTTTGAGCAGCGTCTTCACATGCGTATACATGCTGCCATGCAACGTCTCAAACATATTGAGTGATCCAAGGCATTTACCAAGCTAACCATAACACGGCCATTTACCATAGCAATAGAACCTTTATTAGGTATGGGACATATGATTTTTGAAGTGCCACCTCGATTTTGTATTCTCTACTTTATTTTGTGTCCAAATCACTTTGCTGTGGCTACAATGATACATTTTTCTATGGGAAATAGATGTAGCCACTAGCCTGCAGCTGTCCTAGGCCTTAGTGGCTAAATGGCAGCCTTTATTGGCATGTGGGGGTGTATTGCCAGTCACGACAAAGGAATCAGATGTGGCCCTAGTCTATGGCTTCTTTTCAAATCTTGGATATGAACAATATGTCTTTGTTTTGAACTTCAGTTTATATTGTGCTCCCAAATCAGGTTCAGGAATTTGGTGTTTTAAAGGAAGAAATGTACTCACAAATTCGGTAGTGCAGTGCATAATAGAGGTTGTGCATGGTAGTGATCTTTCCGGTATCTGCGTTTGTTACGGAGCGATAGCACGAAAGGTCTACTCATGTTTATGTATCCCTGTGGAACAAAAGCTCCTATTGGAAAAATGGCTGCCATGCACAACCTGTATTGGATGTCTTTCAATCTCAAATTTGAACTGCATTGAGCTTGAGAGAAAAAATTTATGTAACTGGAACCCATTGAGATAATGATGAGATATGCCCTCGCCATGCTGAGAATGAGGCTCCTTCATTTCAGTAAACTGTCTTCACACTCCTGTGTGTTGATTTTCCATGGGGGGAGGGCAAGTCAGATGGAAGGAGTTTGAATATCACTTGTACAGTGTAAACTGGCTTTGTTGTGTCAGCCTGTGTGGACACCTGTCCATTGTGGTCAACTGTCAGATATTGCCACTTGTCCAGTGTGGCCACCTGTTCACTTTGGCCACCTGTCTGTTGTGGTCGTCTCTCCATTACGAAGTGGCCACCTCTCTACTGTGGCCATCTTTTCATTGTGATCATCTGCTCACTATGTCCACTTGTCCATTGTAGCCACCTATCCATTATGGCTTTCCCATGTGAGGACCCTTGCCACAAACATACTCGTATCAATTTGTTACTGTGGGCACCTATCACTTTGGCTAGTTTTAGTGATGTATACTATTTACAGTACCCATTCTCCTGATGGTGGCTACTAAATTTGCCATTTACGTACGTATATGTAGTCTGCTAGCGATGGTAGCCACCTGTTGTGTCACATTTTGATGAATTGCCCAAGTTTGGCAAATTTATTATAACAAAATCTCCCAAAATGGCAAAATTATGGAGAGCATTGTGGGATGTTTTCTCTTGCGATAGGAAACAGGTGCAATGCAACATTTTGGTCACAAACTTGTCAGGGCAGACGATTACAGATAAGAGTGGTTTCACTTTCCATATTAATCATGATTGAACCAAAGTGGATTTTGTATCAGTAATCGCTGTGTGACTTCTTTCATTGACAAGCAATGATTTTGTAAATTAATCTCTATATATTACTCTCTTGTATCAAGTGTTCACTTATTTAAATTAGTCTTTGATATTGGTGTACATTAGTTGAACATTCCTAATGTAAAAAAGAATAAAATTGGTATACATGGCTGTGTAATATATTATAACTGTTGCTTGAGGTGGGTATAAAATTTAGCGTGTAATAAAAGAAAAGATTTATAATTTTCCTTTCAATGTCGAGAATTTCTTTTGTTCTTCAAGATAGATGATGCTTGTTATAGTGTAAGGGTTGTTATCCCTCCTTTTACTTTGGAAGTAACGAATTAGTCATCGTAATCCCCCATTTCAACCAACTCTAACCCATCTTAGTGGGCTATAATTTTGCATAAAGAAGTGTCTTGCGGTACATTATAAATGAAAAATGGACGATATTTTTCGTTTTCACATTGACGATCGAAACAAAATGACTCTTGTTTTATTTTAAAATGTGAAGTTTCTGGAAGCTCACTGCATTTTACTTTCAGGCTCTTTAAATTAATAAGATCACCGTGGCCATGGTGGTTCAAACCATGTTCAAACGTTGTGGTATAGAGCCTGAAAGTAAAGCTTCCAGAACCCTCGCGGGGCCTGGTCTGCCTATGTGGATTTTACATTGGGCCATCCTATCACGTTCGATAATTATTGGAAGAATAAATCCTAACTGAAACCATCCCATGAAACACTCATATTGGAATTTTCCCTTTGTCTTCCTCAAGTAATATTTAGGAAAACTCACCTGGAGATGGGTAAAAAACGAATGTTATTAACGACCTTTCACGTCCGGCGATATCGTCCCCAGGTCTATACCTTGTTCATGTACGTTTGGTTTCACTCCCCGTGCTAACGTGAAAACGAGATTGAACAACGTTGCAAAGATTTACATGTATCTAGCCTACATGCAGTTGATGGGTTCCAGATTCAGTGGAGTTGACATCACACCGTTGTCAGCAAAGGTTAGATTAAGTATTAGAATCTTTCGTAAAAGTAGATTGTTGCTTTAAGTTTATTAGGCCTATATTATAAATAAAACAATGTGTAAATGATATCTTGATCTGTTTTTATTTCGGCTTATCAGACTACCATAAAATTTCAAATCGTAAAATGTTCATTTGCGTATACGAGGCCATCGTATTGGACTATTCGTCATGTATTTTAGATTGTCAGAGGTGATGGGTCAATTTTTTGGCAGGCTATTTCTCTTTTAGGTCAACGGTGTTTTTCCAGTTTCTATAAATTGATATACATGTACGAGCAAATTATTCTCCCAAACCCTTTTTCGAGTTGGACTTTTTAAGAAGTAGCCGAACGAAAAAAATTACAAATTCAAAAATCTCTGCAGGTTATTTTTCCTTTCTAAGGGTTCCGAAAGCGCGCCATCAGGGGTGTATTTTCCCGTAGGATGTATAGTGTTAGTATGATATGTCACACGATTTGATTTCCAGTAAACGCCAAAAGCTTACAGCTTGTAAAATGAAGAGATAAAAAGCCAGATAAACGCCGTTTTATCCTCCCTGGTTCAATTTCGTGTACTTAACACAAACACGTACTGGGTGAAATTTGCATGGGCCTTCCGCCATAGGCACCACAGAATTGAATAGAATGCATGCGCTCAACATTGAACCTTTTTCCTTCCCGCAGTGCCTTTCTACCATTGTGCAAAATCACCCATGCAGTATTTGCGACATGACTGAGGGCTTATGGATGTGATCTTCATAATGCATGTTACAAAGTTCTGCGGGCTACAGTCGGCACTGCATGAGCAGCCCGCATGGACCATACAGACGTCCTTAAATTACACCTCAATCAACTAAATATCGCTTGGTTCTCCATATACACGTGCATTCAAGTCTGTTCATTTACAAGTGCAGATTTCCAGCCAAGCTTCGTTTCTTAGTTGCTTCTTGAAGATTGTTAACATTTTTGGAAAGCGTCAAATTCTACGATGCTATAGCATAGGTGTGATAACAAAAGGCGCTATTTGGATTACATTGCATTGAGCATGAATTCATACTTTGAGAACGACTTGAATTGAAGTTTTGCCCAAACTAACGTTAGTAAATATTCGTTTATTATGAGGAAAAATGCTGAAGATTAAAATTCGATTGCTATAAAAAATATAGTCAGTTATTGTGACCATAAGTTATCACAATAACTGCTGATAACCTATTATAACATAACCATTGCGAAATATGTGGGAACCCGTATGAGGTACATTCTCCCAATATTTGCCCTTTGGACCTGCCACCGACACCGTGATTGTAGGGCACCAGTCAAGCGTATGGTAGGATCATACGTAACCTTTTGAACGCACGAGAGGTGGTGCACAGGAACACGAATTTTAAGTTCTCGTCTTTGTATGAGTACCAGTAAACACAAAGCAGACCGAAGCCGAAGAGGACTCAGAGCCCTTTACAGAAAAATGATCGATGTTGGTCACCGTAGTCTACCAAAAGTAGAGAAACGCTTTCTTCTTCAAAAATCTTGCAAGGGGAGAAGTCTTAGCCCGGAATACATGATGTGTTTGTTTAATAATCGGTATACCCTTAGTAGGGAATTCCCAAGTACCTGTCTGGTTGCGAAACAAATGTTGTTTTTTTTTCTGGAATAAGTAATAGGGTTTACCTTGCTGACACAATGGAAGCGCTGCACTTGGTGACCCTCTCCGCCATTTGTCATGTAAATAGCAGCGTTGAATAACTGGAGAGACCGATTCTTTGAATACGGTGTACTTAATTTCTCAAATACATGTATCAACCAGTAGAAACTGTTTTCCCTATATATTTGGAAACGAGAGTAGAGGGAGGCACCTCGCAATGAAATAGAATATGAAACACCCAATTTCGGATTTAGCTTTAATTTCAAAACAATCTTCATCTATATATAGAGTACAAATACAGTTCAAGTCTGTCGCTGCGTTTTCATGCTGTTTTCAATAAAATCTGAGGAACTGTTTCGAAACATTGTCTGTAAAACCTTGCCGTTTTGAGCCTAATCTAGACGTTCGGTATTCATCGCATTCCAGATTATTTCTTGGGTTTAGTCACGAAGCTGCATGTGATTATCATAGACCAAGCACAACCAAACAGTCAACTTGAATAAAAAATGGGTACCCCCCGTTATTGGGTTTAGGTTTAATAAAAGGTTAATTTCGCATGTCGATATTGCCTGCTTATAAGAAATAAAACTAACAGAATGACATCAAAAACACTTGCAAACACTCAAGACCGTTTGCTGCACAGGTTAAGTTGTAGATCACCAAGAGCAAGCAAGGATCCAGTCCCCGCCATTAAGTATTACCAGTTACAAAAACAGTGGCGTAACGGCTACAGGGGGAAGTCCCCCCCCCTTTCCGCGGATGCCCGTGCCTCCCAATTTGAAATCTTTGAATCATCTCTGTTGAATTGCAGCCGGGGCTTATTTTTTTGTGTTGCTCCTTTGAAAAAAATCGTCGGTCGCACCACGATCTGGCCTATAGCCCTGACAGCCCTGATCGTTACACTACTGCTCACAATACTAACTTTTATTGACACAGATTTCGTATTGTAGTGAAGTTGGATGGATAGTTAAATTATAATATGAAACTGAAAAATCTTAAGTACTAGGTTAAAATGAGGCACCCAAACCATATGTCACTCTGTGAGATTTTCATTGTTTCAATGAGTGAAAACAGATATCGATTTCTCGATGGCCGACTGTGCAGCTAGCGCATGCGGCGCGCAGACTATTTCACGTTGATCTATGCGGATGTTCGTTTAAAATCCTTCCGCGTACCACCAGACAAAATTAATTATCAATTAAATCCATCATCTACCAAAATAACACACTCAGCGCATCTATTTGGTATGTGCGAGCTGCAGCAACCGGCATGACCCCGCCACTGCGTTACCGTAATAAGCAGTCGTTACTTTTACTGATGATTCTACATCACAGAATTGATCAGGCGTTGCTGACCATAATCGCCATTCCATGAACTCTGATTTAAATGACATGTATTAATCTTTGTGTAAACGTTCTTATACACAAAATTGTCTGCTTTATATGCATACATTTTATTAATGAGGATTACAATTGACGATCTGTTGCTTCCGGTGGTTTCCAGATACGAAAAACCACAAAAACCTCTCTTTTCATTGTTTGGGAAAAGTGGAAACGTATGTCTTATTTATGCAATCCACCGCTTTCAGGCTAGCTAAGTAATGATTAAGTAATTAAAAGGCTCGCCCTTCTACATTTGTCTACGAAAGTGACTTTAAACTAAAGTAATAATAAATTAACAGATTGAACGTGTTATTTGTCGTTGCTGCTATAGCAAGCGTGAAGTGACGCTTTTCTGTACTGTGATTGCATGTCGCGCCTGTTCACAGTACCTCCTATCCACTGAACCTTACATAACCATGACATTGATAAATTCGTTGTATTCCAATTTGCCTCGGATCGCAACCGAATACAACTACATTTTGCAAACAGCGCCAAAGACTGGTTCTGAATGACTGAACTTCAAATGACATGGATAGGTACCAGACTGTGTAAGTTAATTCAAGGATGGAAATAAAACAGCGTTGTATGTTTCACCATCTGGATGCGTTTGTGTCGGTATGTGAAGTACTAATTTAATGGAAGGCCCCAAGGTAAAATATGTAATTACCCAAATTAATTTAATTAGCTTTTCAGAGCACCTATGAGTTTTAAATGTTCAGAAAATAAAGATTTCATCATGCATAACAATAATATGCTAAAATCCCACATTCGTCAAAAGTTGAGATAGGTCAGGTGATTCTGGTGCACCGCCCAAGCTACGCCACTGTACAAAAACCTGGAAAATCGACAAGTTTTTTATCTTGACCTTTTCCGTAATTCTGGCCACTTTTCTACATTCGACTCAAAAAATAAATTGACATGGTTTTGAAGCAAAATGTTGTTCACTTTCTTTGTAATCAGAAACAAGTATAAAGCTCGGTGTGACCGTTTCGTAAACCGGCCTCCGGAAGCGAAGACCAGCTGCTGGACATTCATAGCCCCGCATTTTGAATCAAGATATTGGACGGAGAGAATGTCCCCGTTTTGTGTTGGTTATTGTTGGGGATGTGTTAGGTAACAAAAGTCTACAGTGTCTATAGGGTTTTGACATGTACATGTATACAGTTCTTGGCAAAAGATTCAGATGCCGAAATTTCGGGGGGGGCCGAAGTGACAACTTAATTAAAGTCCCTTCGATAGCAGGGTTGGCCTATGACGTGTGCGCTATCTATGAAAAAGAATACGTGCGCAAGTATTCAAAGGTAACTATTGCGTTTTCTCATGACGTACGTTTCATAGTTTCACGAAGTGACAGAAACTTCCAACAGTGCAATTGGGGAAAAACAATGGCCTTTCAGTTTGCTGCTTAATTACGTAGCAACAATTTTATTAACGGATTACTTTCAATTTATTCAAATTTTACAGAAATAATAAGCAACAAAGTTACGGTAATGCAACAATTTCCAAATCCGGATAAACTTGTCGAAAAATGAGTCCTGAAAAAGGAAAAACGAAATGTAAATTTCTCTCAACACATCCTAGCCCCTAAGTACCAGTCAGTACATACGAGACTGGAGCTGTCTATCCAGTCAGAAATGAGACGGAGGAGTACCCCCCCCCAACATGTCGGGATTAGGTCAACTCGGACCCAAACCAACTCGGACCCATTCCAACTCGGACCCATGCTAACTCGGACCCAGGACCAACTCGGACCCATGCCAACTCGGACCCAATACTAACTCGGACCTACGACCATCTGTCAATCATGTCCAATCGATATACCCACTCTAGACAAATGTTATCCAAACCCCCCCCCTTGATGTCTAAAAAAGAATTCCTCAGATTCCAGTGAAGCAATGACCAACACAAGGGGGGGGGGTCTCTTTCTCAAATCTTGCTTCACATGTGGGGCTGGGAACGTTTGCCAGGATCGTGAAGCTTTTGTAACTTCGCTTGTGTGTTTTATTTCTCCATGGCTTGCCACTAGTCAAAAAGATTACCGTCGCGACCAAGGTCCGCCTCATGCACGCGTGCACAGCATGCTCGTCACGGTTGCTCCGCCCATACACGACCATTGCATACTTGTCGTCAATGTACAAGACTTTGTTTGTCTCCTGGATCGCATGATATTAAAGTCACAGGGAATAAACCTATTGTCAAATTTGTCAGGTGACGGTCCAGGCGCATTTCTGATCCCACATGCTAGACGCTCTATTGCAGTATTCATTCACCCTGCTTGATACCATTGAGCTGGTACTGAGAGAACTGTTTCTGCACTGTAAGGAACTATGATCATGTTGGATTCTCGATTAGTTTTGACGTAGGCCTACTTGCGATATTGCGTTGATCGCGGAGAATATTGATATGTCAAGCTGCAAGATGCATGACATGTACAACATGTACTGTACATTGGGGCCAGGGGCCTATACCCAACAGACGACGTCACGTTCTTGACTGTTGGTCGCCCGCCCCTGGTCTTGACCATAATTGTAATAAAAGAGGCGATTTGTAGAGTCTTAAAGCTTCAGTAACTCAGACCAACTGTTTGCCTTAAATTTGGACTGAAGTTTGCTTTTTCATTTTTTTTCTTCTCAGAGATATTTTGTATTGAAACTTCTCTAAAAGATGGCTTTCCTTAGAAGCATGCAACTCGGCCTTCGACTTCGAGGCATCAGAGCAGTCAACTCGGTTAAGGTGAGCGTCGAACACCGGGTGTAACATATGTACATGTACTTTTTTCAGGGTGCATGTAGCCTTGTTATACTAGTTCCAGGCAAATTTCGGATTTCAAAAGAAAACATTATTCACGTGGTGGCGATGCTGAACAAAAGATACACGGTCTATTCCAAAACACAAACTAATGTCATGGGCAGTGTGGTGTTGAAGGAGTTCGAGAAGGACCGATCTTCGGACCTCTCTACTGCCGGAAGGACACTCAGTGGCAGACATTCCAGGCTACTAAAAACTGAATGTTAGCTGGAGAGTGGTTAATTATTTTGGTGCAGGCTGGCTGGTTGCAGTATTTATAAGTTAGGGTTGTAAAACTGTGGACAAAAAAGTGTGGAGGGTGTACAAAGGGAGACTGTCTGGATGGACCACTGAGTAAATTTACCAGTTCATAAATCTGTCTCTAGTCTGGGGGCTTCATCCTCTGTCTCAATAGAAAAGAATGTGGATTAGGATGAAACCTTAAACAAGGATTGGGTAACTGCAAAGTGATTGAAGAGATGGGGCTTACATGGGTACCTCCACTCATGTGGGAAGGGACAATGTCAAAAGTATGTTCTCCTTGAGGGGAATCCAATTGAGACCCATAAAATTCCATCTCGGTGCTGGTGAGTGGCAAGATATGATTGGATTGTATATATTTTTCCCCTTACTTTATTTTAGGTAACTTTATATAATCTCTATGGTTTTAAATTCCTTATGAAGTTGATTCTGTAATGCGCCTTTGAGCATTTGTAATGTTTAGCATATGATTGTTAATATTAATTATTGTGGGGAGCAGGACAGACCTTGGACCCCACAGTTCTGGTGGTAAATAATTAACCCCACAGTTCTGGTGGTAAATAATTAACCCCACAGTTCTGGGGATAATTAAGTATTAATAGACAGCTCACCCAGTATAGTTTATGGTCATGATAAAATTTGGTTGTAATTAATTGTGAGGGAGATCTGTTATCAGGGTTATAGTCAACTGGTCCTTGCCCTAGACACTTAGTTACATAATGGGATTTTTAATGCACCTGCTGTGTTCAAGGGAGGTCAAAGTACAAGTGTGTATCAGACTTATTTCAGATTAAGGTCAGTTTTCAGTACATGTATGTCTGTGTCTGCCGTAAACAAGGACCCTAGGAAAATGTCTTAATATGAAGAGACCCTTGTGCAGGTGACATCCATTCATAATGATACAACTATTTTTTAGTCAGTTGGTGTTTTTGGTGTTTGAAGAAAAAGGAACCTTGGGAACTGAAATAATAATAATTATAATAAACTCATTTAAGCAATTTCTATGCTTTGTTTTCTTAATGAATAACTTTGAAAACTTGTAAATATTGAATGATTAAGAAATAGGTCAAATTTACATCTGCAAACAAGCCAAAAATGCTCATCATTTTGGACCTAGTACCCTAATGCTCTTGACATGGATAGTAATCACCGGGCTCTTGTTGCTAAATTGAAATTTACTGGGTCTGTAACTTTGTGAAATATACATCAAGAAAAAAACATGTAACTGTAATTTCTTTTGAAGTTTAAAAAAAAAAACAAAATTTTAGTCAAAATTGCAGTGGACAGGATATGTTGCAAACAACTGAAGAGGTGTGATCATTTTCAACTCTATGGTAATTCAGCAACCAGAATGATAAAGTCCATCACTGTTGATGACTTCACACTCACATGGGGGGGTATGCATGTGTTATATGTCTCTTCCACCAATTATAGGATGTTATGATGTGCCCAATTAATGCACACTCGCCTCAAAGTGAGGAAGACGTACATTAGTCTGGTGCCACTTTGGCATCTTGTTAGCTTAGTCTGTAACATCCGTGTTATGAGCTCTCTTTGAATGTTTCTCACCTTGCTCAGTTGACCCAAGCAGAATCTTCAGTTGGTATGGCCAAGTTCCAATCCAGCCAGCGATTGGAATCGACAATGCCCACTGCCTACCAAGTCAAGGAGCAACTAGCTAAGGCAAGCCCTGTCTGTTCCTACAATGAGTGGGACCCCCTTGAGGAGGTAGTGGTAGGCCGAATCGAGAATGGCATCGTTCCCCCATTCACCCCTGAATTGAAAGTGAGTGTGTGACGTTAGCATAATTTCCTATATCGACAGTGTCTGTCAATTTTTGGCAGGCATTTCTTGAAATTGTGGAGGCTAATAAAAGCTAATTTTTGTTTTAGAAAAACACTCCCAATTTTTTTTCGAAAATATGCTGTAAACAGATTGACAAGGATGTGAAGAAGCAAAATTAACTGACAAATTTTGTCTGTCTCATGCATACGTTATGATTCCATTTCCTCTTTGAGGTTTCCGCCAACCAAAATAACTGGGAGTTCTTCAAAGCGAATCAGGGCAAGCCGTGGCCCAAAGAACACACTGAAAAAGCCATAGCTGAGGTTGAGGAAGTCTGCAACATACTCAACCAGGAGGGCATTATTGTCCGACGACCTGATCCCATTGACTTCAGCGATGAGTACAAGACACCAGACTTTAGCTCAAGAGGTGGGATGCATTCTCCCAAAGGACTTGAGTCATTTTGATATGATTGACTCGACTTGAGTGAAATTTAAATAGCAGTATTCCCATACACTGATCACGTTATGATTGACACAGCTAGACTAATGCAAGCCTTGAACCAATAAATAATGCTTGCCTTTTCTGTTGTGATAGATCATCAAACTCAAAGTGTTTCTGTTTCAATGTCTCCATTATTAAATTGGATTCACTTCCTCAAATTTGCTGTATATGTCCTTCTAAAACCTTAAAGCTTTTGAAGATGCAATTATATTCTGAACTGATGGATTTTTTGAGCCCATATTCTGCATTTTTTTAAATAAAAAACTTGCATTTTGGATTCAGGCAATCTATCAACCATCGTCCATTTTTTCCCATCATCCTCACTAAATGTTTTCATTTGCTCCAGGCATGTACTGTGCTATGCCTCGTGATATTCTGTTGATTGTTGGTGAAGAGATCATCGAGTGTCCAATGGCATGGCGGTCCAGGTTCTTTGAGTACCGCGCCTATCGGGAACTGATCAAGGAATACTTCAAGGCAGGAGCTAAATGGACCACACCTCCAAAGCCACTCATGTCTGATGAACTCTACAATGTGGTAAGGTTTCACCCAAGTACATCTACAAGTAGGAAGGGCTTAGTATCATTCCCTCCCAGAAAGATTCATGCTTTATGAAGTGTACAGCAAGGTAAGGTTCTCCACCAAAGATCTTAAAGGCAGGCAGCTAAGGAGACCATAGACCACACCCAACAACCCAACCCTGTCTGTTGAATCGTAAACTTATCTTTAACTATCAAGACGGAGCTCATTAGACCTTACCCCAAATCTACTCATGCATGACAAACTGTACAGCGAGGGTTAAACCAACCATGTATCCTAATTAGGTAGGGACTAAGTAGACCACACCCTCTGATCCACCCATGTCTGATGAATTGCACAGTCGGATGATTTATCCATACAAGTATTTGGAAGCGGGGCAAAGTAGACCAGGCCCACACAGCCACACATGACAGAGAAACATTTTCTCTTCAAGTGCTAACCTTTGAAGTCTTTGAACCTCAAAAGGGCTTGTCAATTATTCCACGAAATAAGTTACCCCTCCAGCTCCTCTCCCACCCCATCATATTGTTAACTGTCTTTTCCGGTGGTGTGTCACTCGAGGATGTCATGGACCTCTCAGATGAAGAACGAACCCATCAGCATCACCAAGGACGGCACTTCACCACTGAGTTTGAGCCCTGCTTTGATGCTGCTGATTTTGTCAGAGCAGGAAGAGATATCTTTGTACAGAGAAGTCAGGTATGTTTGAACTCATTAGTGAAAAATTACAGTCAGTGCTAGCCATCTCCATGTAATTCAGACGGTGTGTCACATCCTAGAATGGATGATGCACTACATGTATATAATGCCTTGAAATCTATGCCATACTTACAAATGCTCATGTACTAAAAGGCCATACCAAACTATCCCTTCCGAGCTGCAGTGCACCCCCAGTTGGCGAAAGAAAGACGGGTGGTTAGAAGTGGGTTCTTGCACACGTTCTGTGTGTAGGCAAAGACCATACATGCCACAATAAATTTGTTATGCGTACTCAGCGTGTTCCACATCAAACGCTCATATACATGCGTGCCTTATGGCACACCTATGCAGTGAGTACCACAAAAATACGCCTTCTTTTGTTCCGCTCGGAACGGATAGTATGACCTCACGCTCAAATCCTCGAGAAAGCGAGCCCTCTGTTAACATTGTATTTGCTAGTCTGATGGTTTAAAAGGCCTGCTAATCATTTATATAAAATGTGTTGTTTGTAAATATGCTATTGCACTGGTTTTTATGATATGTGTGACAATGCAGAGGTGGATGTCTGTCTTATGGAACCAACAAAGGATGTGCAGAAACTTTTTTTGAATGTTTGAGATTAGTAGACTTGGTCTCAGGGTTGATGGAAAGATTGCTCATGATACCGTGATGTGATTAGCTTGTGACTGACTTGAAGAAAATGGAAAAATGAAGTTTAGACCTGAAGTCTTTACTTTTACCTTAAAACCATGAGCTTTGGTATGACTGACTTGACTTCAGACATGTATACTCCAAGTGTGGAGACTTGACTTGGCCACATTCCCAAACTTGACACAGAGTTGAACTCCAAACTCAGACAACATGGAGAAGTCCTGAATCAGCAATGAGAAAACTGGACAGGTCAGGACTGGAACATTCATGAGTGGATTATTTTATTAAATCCAATTTAATCCCTGGCACTGTTTTTCCTTCTTTTATTGAAAAATAATTTTGTGGGTTCTGCTTTCTCTTTATTTACTCCCCTTGCCATGTCGTCTTTCCAAGAACCTTTCCCCCAAGGATTGGTAGCTTGTAGTGTTTCCAGGCACGTTAGCATTCGGTATGTCGAATGGCTTGAATTTCACAGTGGAACTAGTCAGTAAGTTTTGAAATTTTGCAATCTTATCAGAGTTTCCTTGCTTTAGATGTTGTGAAATTTTCAAGGATGCATTTCCTGCCGAAGTTGATTTTGTTGTGTTGTAATTTTTGTGGATGTACATTATTTTTATTGAATTGAGTTCCAGCTTTTATCAGCTGCTCAAACTTTTCAAAAGTATTCAGGCCATGAAGGCCTTATAAAACTTACATTTTTTGACATGAAGTCTCCATTGTTGTACACAGCCTGCTCGAAATTCGACTGCTTGACAGTTAGAACTACAATTTGCCTGGTAACATGGTGGCTCATTGGAAGATTAAATTAGTGCTTGTGGGTGAACCAGAATCTCATGCAATTCTTGCATCAGGTGACCAATATGCTTGGCATTCAGTGGATGGCTCGTCACCTTGGTAATGAGTATAACGTCCATCTGCTGACATTTGAGGACCCTCGGCCCATGCACATCGATGCCACCTTTATGCTCCTGCGACCAGGGCTTGTCCTGTCAAACCCAGAGCGTGGTTGCCATCAACTGGATTACTTCAAGAAGGCAGGATGGGATGTTGTTGAAACAGCCAGGCCTATCATACCTGCCGGTATGTATGGTCTGAACTGATACCAGGTTTTTGATTGAGCAGGATGGGCTAGTCTCTAAAGTTATTTATTTAGAGACTAGTCATATTTCAGTACTTCAGCCAGAAGGTTCGATTACGAAGAACACAGCTGCAATGGAATCAAGTCAAAGGGATGTAAATTCAATGTACAGCTAGAGGTAACACTTGCAGGATCTGCTTTGAATTGTCATGTTTTTGCTGTACAACAGATCACCCCATGTGGCTGGGCTCCAAGTGGCTGTCCATGAACGTGCTGATGTTGGACCATGACCGGGTCATGGTTGATGCCAACGAGACACCCACCATCAAGATGTTTGAGAAGTTAGGCATCAAGACGGTGAAGGCCTCCATGCGCTATGCCAACTCTTACGGAGGTGGCTTCCACTGCTGGACCAGTGACATCCGTCGACGCGGAACTCTACAGTCCTACTTCTAGGGTGGTTTGAGAACCAGGGTGGCTTTATTGGTCTCCATCATTCTCCAAGACCTTTCATGGTTTCTTCCTTACAGATCCTCAGACAAGCATAGTTAGTTTCCTACAAAAGACTTTTTTGAACAATTAAAGACAACAAAGGTTTCTATCTTAAATCCAGACTAGCAAACCTATTATTTTACAGAAGACTGTCTAGTTTTCCTCTAGTTCTCCTGTCAAGGGGTTTCTTTCACTCTCTCCATGGAGCTCCATGCTCTTGCTTACCATTATGCACTGCATATGTCTTTTCCATCAAAACTTCTTTGGATGAGGTCTGGGTATTTGACCAATATGGGTGCAGCAGGCCGCCCATTCCATTAAATAGCTGTCCTTATATCTAAGGAATTTCCTAACTAAATGCGGAATCTTGTGATATTATTTCTAATATCATCATGATAGGACCACATATGCTAATCATATTTCCTATATTAGGAATTGTTCAGCAGCTTTGAATTATTAGCACAGAAAAAAGCTTTTATCCTAAATATATATATAGCAGCAACAGAACATGAAGATGTGTGTAACAAATTCACCGACAGTAATTAAACAGGTATACTTTTGAATGCTTTTATTTACAGTAATAATACATTCAAGGGTCAAGCAAGATGGTAACTTGCTGTCATTAATCATTTTGACAACTCACCAGGGTGTTAAAAATGCCTTTGAATTGTTTTAATGAAAGAAAACATCTTGGGCTTGCGTATTTTCCCAAGTGTTTGCTATAAGAGACTGTGTTTAAGTCAACATATTTCAGTTTACTTAAACATACGTATTTTCTTCATTCGTGTTTATTAACGTACAACCGTTTAAGCCACAATATTCACCTTTGGGAAATAATTTATTCAGACAAAGCTTGTAGCATGGCAACTCATAACTCGACGCGAGTTGTAGGTTAAGCCCAGCATTACAATTCTTTAATACATTTATGTCGATGTTATTCTATTTTTTTCTGCTTGGGAAGAGGAAAAACCTCGGTATAGTGTGTTTCTCTTATTATTAAACATCTTAAGGCCAGCATTTCTTATTTTGCTGGAAATGTTTGTTTTCTTCAACCACTCATACTTGTGGTTAGTGTTGGAGTGAAATACTGACGTTTATAGACCAATCCAGTTATTAGATGCCATTACTGGGGGGCGTTGCAACTCACACACGCACATTCTTCAGCTTGACGCGTGCGTGCATTTGGCAAATCACGACACCCTATCAGTCGACGAGGTATGTAACGCGCGTTTAATTACCTCCTACCTGATCACCAGCGTTATGCCACCCAAATAATGGCTTCTAATTCTGGTTTTTGAATCAATTGGAACAATGAATTTTGCCGAAGTAATTTATTTGAACAAAGCTTTGCCAAAGGAGAATGTCTGGTTTTTGGCAACACTGCACAGTTTTTATACTTTGTTTTCAAGGAGTAGGCCACTGTGTTGGTCATAAAATTCTCTGTTCACCTTTTTTTGTTTTGTTTTGTTTTTTTTACCCATGACATAGATCAGAAAATACCAGGGACGCACGAACGAATTTCTCAGATAAAATTGGATTTTTCGTAGTTGTTAAGTAGTAGGCCCTACATATTACGTACATTTTATGCATTTTGCTTTAAATTTTCTGAATTCAGAGTTTGGTTCTTTAAGATATGTCCATTTTTCGAGTAAACGGTTGAATGTAAAACCAAGCGTACTTTACCATACAAAAAAACCCATGTCACTAATTTTACCAAAATTAATTCAGAACACTTCAATTTGATGGATGTGGTGTTGTGTAAAGACGAACATTCCCAACACTTCGATGTGATGGATGTTGAAGAAAACATTCCTAGTACTGCGTCTGTTTTAATGTGTTTCGCTAATAAAACGTTAACAAAACTGGAAGAGCTTGATGATGTACTACTTTAAATCCCTGAGGAGCCCCATGTGACATATTTGTAACAGCTTTTAAAAAATTAATTAAAAATATTTCAAAACTCCTTCCCAGTGCCCACCAAAGCCCACAGTTACATCGATGTAACATAAATAGCGACCTCTATAGGTTGTTTAAGCTACAACTGACACGTCATGACCTTTCACAGGAATTCCCTCTCTTTACCTTAATTTGGAGGGGATTTGTGTTTGAACTGGGACAAAGTCTGAGAGAAGTGTGGGGAAACCAATTACATGTAGGCCTACAACTATTGAGACATACGTTTACATGTACATGTATGTGCATGCATTAGCCAGCTCAACTCCTGCAGTTCTGTTCTTGCAATTTCATGTTTCTTCATGTCATCGAGTAGTATTGCTGGTGATAAAAGTGATTTTTTGTAAAGGAGGATGGCTTCCCATCAAAGGGGCCGGTTTCATGCAAAAAATGTGTTGCAAGTTTTGGATTGTGATGAGAGCAATGATGGTCAATAGATGACAGCGATTCAGATGAAGTGCTGAAGAGTGCATCAGATGTCGGCACAGATTACAGCCATGAAAGCTGCAGTTAATCAGATGACGAGCCACTTGTCAACATCGCAAGTACGTCTGCACCAAAAAAGCTAAGAAGACATCACCAGTCTATCGGTGGGAGAAAAAAACCTTCATAGCACCTGATGCAACATTCACTGGGCCAACTGATGATGTTCCTCCTTCAATGGAGTTGGATACACCATTTGGGTATTTCCAATGATTTATCACTGACAACATGTTGGACCATGTCGTAGAATACTCAAACCAATACAGTGCTCAGAAGAATAGACATGTTGCAAATCTATCACGGAAAGAGCTGGAGCAATTGATTGGAATGTTCTACCGTATGGGCTTCGTTCAGATGGCTGGAGTTCGTGCTTACTGGGAGAACGGGACAAATCATGAACCAGTCAGTGGAGTCATGAGTCGAAATCGATTCCAGTACTTACTGACTGTACTTTGTCAATAATTTGGCAGTGACTGATGAGGGCAGGAAGGCTGACAAGCTATGGAAAATCCGTCCATGGCTAAATATGATGCAAGAAAACTGCTTGAAAGTAGTGGCGCATGAGCATAACTCCATCGACGAGATAATAGTACAATACAAAGGCAAGACAGCCAGCATCAGGCAGTATGCTGCGAACAAGCCTCATCCCTGGGGATTCAAGATCTGAGTGAGAGCTGGAACTGATGGCTTGGTTCACGACTTCGACGTATACCAAGGAGGTGACGACAAACGCTCAGAACTTGGTCAAGGTGCTGATGTTGTTTTGAAACTTGCTGCCACACTACCTCAGCATGTCAACTACAAGATATTCGCTGACAACCTCTTCACAGGTGTTCCCCTCCTTGTAAAAAACAAAGAGCTGGGAATGCACTATGTCGGCACAGTTCGCAAGAATCGAATCTCTGGCTGCAAGCTGGACGATGAAAAGAAGCTGCGTAAGGAGGAAAGGGGAACATACGACCATTGCGTTGAAGACAGCCACAACATCATAGCAGTGAGATGGGTTGATAACAAAGCTGTAACTCTCCTGTCGACGTACACAGGTATTGAGCCAATTGACACCGTTCGCCGATGGGACTCTGCTGCAAAAGACCACCGGGAAGTTGAACGCCCTGCCATCCGTCGTTTCGCCCATAGTTGGCCCATACTTTTCAAAATCACGGTTACGGTCTACGCGTTGCACTCTAAAAAATCCCGGGTCAGATTGACCCAGAATTGGGTCCCATTCGGCGTGACCCTTTTCTGGGTCAAAATATGACACCCTTCAAGTTTCGGGTCATATTTGACCCTTTCTTGGTCATTTGTTCCGGAAAAGGGCCATGCCGAATGGGACCTTATTCTGGGCCAATCTAACCCTGGAGTTTTTAGAGTGTGCCTTTGGAACAATAGAGATCATATGTGGAAATGGGAGAGATCATAAGTAGAACTTCAATATGATCTCTGTCGGGGGGGGGGAGAGTGTTGTGCGACAAGCGCCTCCTACGTTCAAACTCTTCTCATTCAGCCTTGCACGGCGATGGCGAGCACATCCTTTGTTTCTTAGCTGCGTGACGTGAAGATGGACCATAATGAGTCTTTGAAACCACGAACAGCTGGCAATAATTGATAATTTCAAGTGTGACTCCAAGTATTTAAACCCGTAGTATCATACATTTCTTATGCAGGACGTTCATTTGTCAGAAAAGGTAATTTTCGAGATGAAACCTGTCTTTAGGGTAAACATTTTGTTTTATTTTGTTTACTTGCTATTCTTTTTTGAACGTGCCGTTCCAACCAAAGATTGTATAGCGCCGCGATTCAGTGGAGAGTTGCCCATCTTGCGCCGCTGCGCGGCGCTATACAATCTTTGGTTCCAACTTTGTTGCACGAGTTTCTGTGGCGTTGGTCGGTTGTGAGCGTTGCATCTCCACGCGCTGTAAGTTTTGATCGAACGTAAAAATATTTGACGCGTACGCGTACCAAACTCAATGGACAAAATTTGAATGGGACGCATCACTCGTTTTTTTATAACGGTGCGGAAAAAGGGTCATGTTGAAGGGAAGGATTTCCTTTAAACGACTATAGTCTGAAGGTGAGGCCTTTACACATATATTTCAGGGAAAAAATCAATGTTGAAAGTGGGAGTTTTACAAATTAAATCGTCGTTATGCGTAGATGTCAGGGGTGTCAATTCGAGGAGATCACGGCCCAGTGTGCATTATAAACGTGTTTGCATACATGATTCACAGCAGGACCGAGAAGCAAAAATGGGAATCCTTTTCTAGAATCTCCATGAAACAAAGGACTGGTGTAGGCCTACATATAGAAAACTGCTTGTTCATGTAGATAATAGAAACGCTGGAGACTGTAGCATTAAACGATACAGTTCCTTATGAACACACCGTTTTGGTGAATGGAATAGGCACACAGGCCGTTGTACGCACGCGCAAACCCCTTCCGTCCCGGCCCCCCTGATCTCTGTGGTACAGCTAGAGGTGACACTGGGCGCTTAAAATTGTCCCATTGCGCACGAACAACTTGGAACCTCGTGGATACTTGCGCGTGTGTGAAACTCGAACAAAATTAATACACCGCGCAGATCACGAAAAACCCCTGTAGTTTTGAATGGAACCTGGCGGTCAATGCGTTTATATATCTGTGGTACCAACTAACCACATAGGCGATCAAGTATATGAGCGTTTGACGTGGAGCACGCTGAGTACGCGTAACGTATTTATTCTGGAACGTATGGTCTTAACGTTCAAGCAGAACGCCTGCAAGAACCCGCTTGTAACCACCTGTCTTTCTTTCTCCAAAGTTGGGGGTGCACTTCAGCTAAGGGCGGATAGGCGCAAGACTGGGCCGTTTTCCAATAGGCTCCGTCTGAGGCTTCAACTGTTTTTTTTTACTTCCTGATTTTGAGGTTACAAGCGCAATAGTCTGATAGTGCCACAAGGGGCCACACAAGGGAAGCCTCGAAATGAGGCTAATCGAACGCTGCAGTGTATTCGCCAAGGCATTCTGGGAAAAAGGTCAAGTCCCCGCCACGTTCCATCATGCTCATGCACGAACTGTAAATCCGTGACGTCATTACACTCGAGCAGCCTCCGGAGACCCGCTCGCCAGCCGGGGTAGGGGCGGCTGACACCAGAGCAGGCACGAAGATCACGTGATGGCTAAACGAACGCTTTCGTGTAAGTTTGACTTTCACGTGTAAGCTAATCGAAAGCACCCATATAGTTCTATGGGTGAATACCGGACTGGTTCATATTAGACGCCATCATTGTAGCGACATTACACTCATGTATAAGTAATATTCGCGCGTTTACAAGTCTCTTCGACCAATGGGGACGTCCTTAATTGAACGCGCGCGTCAGCTGTAAGCAAGCACAAGTGAGTGTGCTCCATCTGTTGTAGACTATTGCAGATAAAGTCGGGATGCGGCTGATCATCTGCCCTGCTGATCGCTTTTGTACGCTACAGAGGCTGTTTAACAACGAAAACTCCATTACAGTGGTATGTGGTAATTTACAATTATTGATACAATTTTCTTTACATTATGAATTTGCACACTATCACACGCTCTCTTGAAGGCAACAGATAGGCCTATGGCTTAAAGGAAACGGAGGAAAGACTTTTGAAATTGGAATGTGAATTCGAATTCTAAATCTCAATCAAAGGGTGTGTCGTTACTTAGTACGTTTTAGCCCTTATTTGACAGCGATACAGTTCGACCTTGTCTTGATCCAAACCAAGAGCATTGGATGTAGGATTGGAGGCAAGTTGTTCTTGTGCAGGGTCCTGTATTATAGCTTAAGCTTAAAAGGACCACGCAACACAATTTACTTTGAACCCTTAAAATTGTACCTTTGTGTTTCAATTAACCTTATTTTTATGGTCTGTTTGATATTTCAAAGTGTATTTGGGGCTTTTCTGATTCAAGTTATGCTAATGTGAATTAGCATTCATGTGTGAAACTGTGATGAAATCCCAGGCACTCAACGTCAGTATTAATTTGTGCACAAAATGCTTTTGGAATTTGCTGTAGTTTGCTGTTGTACATTTTAACTTGAACAATTTATTATGTAAGTATATGGCAATAACCCACTGGTCAACTATTTCTCGGAAATGTTTCCCAAGAGCAAATATAAGGTTCAAACTTCGAACATGGAAACATAAGCTGTTGGAGTTTACCTTACCGCAACAGTGCATCATTTATCAGTTTGTTTTGAAAATCGTTTTAATGTTAAAAAGTGCACTTTTCAGTATACTTAACTTCAAAAGGATTTCAAATAATTTTCATATATTGAAAAAGAATTTAAAAGGATATACATGTACAAAAAGTGAGTCTAAGAAAAAAATCACTGCATGGATCCCTTAAGTGTTTGTCTGAAAAAGCTGAAATCCGACGGATCAAGCCAAGTCCCGATCCGACTTCCATTTAAGTCCGGGCCAATAGTGTAATTTACATGAAAATATAAAATATTAAAACTCTGTTTACAAGCTTGACCTCATGGACGTCACTTCCACCAGAGCTGATGGTTTTTTTCGGGGATTTCTATCACGGCTAAAGTTACGGAGTTGATGAAACTTCCGTCGTTGCTAAACTTGACTGGCACTTGACATCAAAGTGCCTGTACTTTTCGGCTTCATTGTCATCTGTTGAGATGACGGTGTCGTGGACGTGGGGCCCGCCCCTGTCGGCCTCTGTCTACCACCGCAGAGGAGGTTCGTCCAGAGACGCCAGACTCTCTTGTTGCAGATGAACGAGAGGAAGATGAGAAGACCCTGGCAGGAGTTGAGGATGATAAAGATGTACCAGAGAGCGACGACGTCGGTGAATGCCGCTACAAAGCCGAAGATCCACGTGAAACCCATCAGGCTGGAGATCTATCGGGTAAAATGGAAAATAAGATATTCTTACCTATCTCCAAGGACTGGAGGCAGTAGGCCCTATTTGTTTCAACCTGTTCTATGAATATAGGTTTTGCAGACCGGGATAGACGGAGAGTAAAGTCACGTTTGCATGACTAGCAGTGCATTGTAGGAACGTCAAATTTCAGGTACAGGCCTCACTGGTCAGTTTTGATGAAACGATTTTACAGTAATTTACCGACTGTAAATGGGACAAGTGAGTTAATTAATAAACCTTTCCATAATCCATGTCGGGTCTTACAGAGGAGTGTACAGTCGAAATCGTTAATTCGAGGTCCTTCGAACCTGTACAGATTACCTTGTTAAAAGAGTAACCACGCTGTTATTGTCCAGAATGCAAACAATGAAGAACAAAGGACCGAGACTGAGAAATTCCTTGTTACAAGCAGAATATTTGTATTGTCCTTATTAACGAGGTTCAACTGTATTAAAAAAGATTTATTTGGATTGTAAGCTCGAGTGCCGCATGGCAATCTGTCTTGCTTTCAAAGATAAGTATAATGAGTTGCCTTGTGTTTTATAATGTATCTGCCTTTAGTGAAATTTTGACGTCTGTCCTCATCAGTACTTACCCTTATGTACACGACCAGCTCTTGTTTCAACTTTTGCAGTTCTGTCTTTTCCGTGACTACATTGGTCATCTTCTTTGAATTACGCATCCCGTGGATAGTTAAGATAAACAGAACACTATTCACAAGCACCGTCAAGCCTATGGGAACACCAAAGGCTACCAGATTGACGTTATTATTGCCGATCCAACAGACATTCTCATTACCGTACGAGAGGGGAATATCTGTGCAGTCACACAGGTGGATCACCAAGCATGGGAGAACTACAAGAAAGGCTCCTCCAAACACGAAGATCCCCTGAGAAAAGTAAACTCTCAAATCGACGTCAAGTCTCCGGATTTTAGAGATGGAAACAAAAACTCGGTTCAGAGCAAAAGCCAAGACTCCCGTCCAGAGTACCGTTGCCAGCCACAAGAAGTGACCGAGGACAGCCACCGTGGTGCAAGCTGACGGGTTGCTCGTTGCAGAGCCACTGACAAGAAGGAGGAGCTGCGCCAGAAAGAGACAGGCAACCAGAGACATGATTGCCAGACTGATGCGCTTTCGGAGCTCCTTGAAGACGCAGTATGTAGTGAAAGTAACTAATGCTGCTGTCATGGAGATGATGTTGGCAATCAGACTTAGAACCGTTTGAGCTTGTGAAAACACTAAGAAAGTCGCTGTCTTGGTGCCGTTTCTAGTGCCGTTAATTTCATAAAAAGAGCACACCTCTATGTCTCCATTTTCTGTTCTGATGAACTCGTCCATCTGAAAAAGTTTTCCTATCGGCGTGTAAATGATTGAGCCTGGGTTATTTTCATCTGCTTCGAAAAGTGTTGAGTTTAGTCTCACGCGAGGGCAGGTTAACTTTGGTTCAGCACAGATCTGGATATCAGTGAATTGCTCGAACACATCTTCCCTTCTTTGGAAGTTGGCCCGTATTATTGTTTGATTCAAAGTGAACCAAGATTCAGATGCATTAATGTAGATCAGCGTTGTACCATTTTCGGCAGGAATGGAAAAGGTAGTGTCGTTAAGCCAGATCCCGGTACATTTGTCTATAGGAAGGCTTTGACAAGTCTGGCGGAACTCTATAAACCATGTCTCGCGGGAGGCGATTGTTTGGCAAAGTGACGAATCTGGAAGAGATAATTTGGAGATGCCACGAAAGTCCATCAATGTTTCCCCAGTTGTGTTGACAGAGAAAGAATACTGGGCAGTACTAGTGCAATTGAAAGTCGGTACAGGGGTTACATTGGCCAGTGCTGGAGTGGAAGATCCAAATTGTAAGGATCGTTGCTCAAGTCCAAGGAATTCTTCAAGACACAGCTGCAAGTCTCCAGTTAGGAGGGAATCCCCACCATTTAACAGACTGTCCTGACAATGCTCCTCCAAACTGACTGACACTTCCATGACAATGTCACCGTCACCTCCACTGTCCCCATCACAAGCCTTTCCCAAGGTCTTAAAGTCGGGGGCACACTTGTTATCCTTAAGAAGATAGCCATCTGGGCAGGACAATCTACGACAACTTGAAATAAAAGGATCGTAGACTTCATTTGGAGGACATTGGACTATCTCTGACACCAATACCTCCCTATTTCGAACTATCTTCACTCTGCTATCGGAGCGGAAATCAAAGAGGACTGAGATGGGGGGTATTTCTTCTGGTGGTGGTGGTTCAATGGGACGATCCGGTTCAGTTGGACCTCCTACACCTGGAATGCCTGGTGAACCCTTGTCTCCTCCTTCATCCGGCTCACCCGGTCGTCCCGGTCTAGGTCTCGGTGGAAACGTACCAACCGGTACATTTGGATAAAAGACCGGTAATGTTAACTCTTGCCGACAGTCTGTGGCGTAGTCTAACCTGTCGGGCCCGTTGGGTACGTTACACAGGGCACAGTGTGGATTCTGGAACACTTTATTACTGTTTGGACCAGGACCAGCCACCGTCGTGTATGCCGTGTATGCCTCGCACGCCTCACGAAGTTGAGGCGCCACGCAATGACGTATAACATCCGAGTAACAGTGTCGTGGCCGCACAGTTACCTCGTCCCTATTCGGGGGTTGGATCATTATATCACAACCTAGTTCTCTTTCTACTCTTCGGACATTTGAGATTGAGGTTTGCAAGAGTGAGGTTGCTCTGCGGTTTAAGAGTAAAGTTCGGCATTCCACGACAATTTCCCAAGCGACCAAGTCCATTAGTGCTTCCCCATGACAGAGGGCGCAGTAGATATTCTTGAAATGCCTTCTGCTGTTTTGGCTGTAGGAAGGAATCACAGACAAGCTATCGTGAGGGTCTGGATTCCGACATAGAACAGCCGTCTGGATGTCGGTAGTATCGCTAGGACAAGTGCTGACGAGGTAGTAGCTTTCCGCGTTTTTGTTTGGAGAAACACAGGATAGATTCTCCATCTGAGGTTGAATAAATAAAAGCATATCAGCCAAAGTTAGTTACCCTTGAAGAATAACATAGGAATTTTCGAGATTGAAATAAATTCTCCGCAGAATATCCCATATTTCATGAAGAAAAATTCCTACCTCATTATGACGAAAGGAATTTCCAGTTGGATGAAAATTTAATTTGTTCAATTGACTAACCTCTTTTTGTGTTTCGTTTTGCCACAAAGAATCGGCTTCTTGGGATTCCCGACCACATGTCTCCGTGTAGTCGTAGCAACAGTCGTCATATATGACGCACTCTGGATCACAATGACAAAGTGAGGGCCGTGTGTCGTTTCGTGACTGACACCCAAGGCTACGGCAGAAGTGCTTGTATTTGCACAAGCCCACCGTGGTGTTATTTATCGTGATGGTCGTAACTGTAAACCAATGAATTTAAAGGAAGAAAGTAAACTAACAATTTGCAAATAAGGTGTAATTAGGACAGTAGGATTCCGTTAAACAGTAAGTTGAAGTGCATGTAACACCCAAAAGGATTGATAATAATCCAGTTTTTATATTTCCTGGGATCGACAAACCTGAAACCAATTGTTCTCCAGTTTTTCAGCCCATGATATCGATCCCTGTCTGACCAATTTTCAGGAAAAAAACCCACCCAGAATACATATGAATAGATCATTACTTTGTGCATGCTAAGCTGTGGCCTTGGCTATGCTTTTAAACACGCGGAAAGCGGGCCGCGTTTGTAAATGGCACGGAAGTTTTTTGAAGGGGAAATGGCATTAGGGCTTTGTGCAGGAAGTGAGTTTTTGGACTATGAAATTACAACCCATGGCAAGCGGATATGGAAGTGAACAACAGTGGACATAACGGTAGGTCTTGCGGTTGGATCGATAACCCAATTATTCAAAACTGTGTCTTCTGGAAGATTCATGAATGATTGCCGATTATAAATATCTTCTCTGGTGCAACACCGGCCGACAGTTATGAAATTGCATTTTTGTCATTACTCTCCGTCTTTGAAATATAATCGAAAATCTGTGCGTATATTTGCTCAGTTATGTATGACAAAATTGGAACTTTCATGAAGAATGTTTCCGCGTGGGATGCTTGGCTATACGTTGTCCAAATATATTTCTGAAAGTCGTTGTATGACAAGCCCAAAACACTGAGGCTGGCGGATCTGCCTGGGAGATAAATCTGTCTGGACGTCAACATTTACACGACAGCAAAAGCACGTGTGAAAGAACGAAAGAAGGAAAAACTTGTGTTCTTAATTTGTTCTTAACACTTATCGTTCGAAAAAGTTCTCTGACTGTATCCCAAAATCTAGTAGATGTTATTTCATGACTTTAAGATCATTGCCCATTTTCGACAACCATCAAGGCTCTACAACTACATTTCGTAACAGTCTCATCCCATACTTGGCCAGATTGCTGAATGATGCACTCAAAGCTTGATCTTTCTTTAGACAGCAGCCTGTGCGATTTGTACACTGATGTCTCTAAACATATTAATTTAAATATAATTAAAATTATATGTCAATTTTCTTTCTTTGTATATTTGTACTGTTGTCTGTAACTTTCTTAAACCTGTCTTTTATTCACGGACCGTTTTATATTATATAGTGCTTTCGTATGTGTCTTGTGCAATCTGTGTTTTGAAATGTATTTCATTATTTTTGTCATATCACTTCATAATTCAACCTTTGGGTTGCTATCAAGTGGAAATAAACCAGAATAATACTAATAAAAATATGGAAGAATAATAATGTTGTAAGTAATCCCCCTCTCTGAGAACTAGAAAATAAACCCCGCCTTTGAGCCAATGTCTGCCTGGCCAGCATGGATCTGCCCTGGATATCTCGTACTAGGTCTAGGTGTCTTGAAATGTAGGCAGCCTCCTTGGTTAATGTCCAATAATTTTCGCCATCATTGAGCCTAAAATGTTGGTGTTTGTGGGCAAAAATGGAAAGGATTCAAAATCGTTCATTTGTCGACCATCGATTTGACAGGCAGTCTTTATGTTGCTAGTGCAGAAGAACGAACACTCATGGATACAATCTTGAACTTGCAAGTAGATGGTGTAATTTGCTTACCATCGATTGGAGTAGCTGTCCTGGTTCCTGGCGGCCCCAGGTCACCGCGGATGGCAGGACGTCCACGGCGCGATGATGGGCCCCTTGGCGTCGAAGGACCTGACAGTATCTGAGCCGTCGTTAACACCGCACACTGAACAAGTAGAACCGCCATTGGAAACCCATAAAGGATTGCCGAAAATGCTCCTAATCGCATTGTGTGAGCTGCGTACTTTTCTGTAGTAGGTTAGAAGACTTGACCCAGCAAGTGAAGTTGTTTTATTCTTTTGCAGATAAAGAGCAGATGGACAAAACTTGTGGAAGTAATTACTGGCCTATACACGAGTGCGTCCAAGTCACCAAAGAAGGAACTCTGAATTTTAGTAGCCAAAGCAAATTCGTGTATTAGATGTTGGATAATGACGACAAGTTCATGTTTAATGAACTGAAGTTCTGCAGCTGCTAACTTTTATAGCTGACAGAGATAGCGTGTGAACGTTAACCGCAAGAGAAGAAAGTCGTTGACTGTACGTACAGATGTCGTGTATAGAGTGGTTTGTCGATCATACTGAACGTGATGTGAAGGACACTGGATAGAACGCCCAAGAAAATTTAGCGGAAACAAGCGCCTGAAATGTAAAAACATACTGGCAGTGTTCCCGTGTCCGGCTTAGGTGAGTGACGTCACGACGGGCAACGAGTGTTAGGAATATTGGAAGGGTTCCGTGAAGTGGCTCCCGATGGCTAAACTGGCAGCCCAGTCGGCCCAGGGGTCTACCGATTGTGAACCAAGGCACCTCTGGCAAATTGGAGCTCGCTTGACGACTTAATTCACTCAAACAAAAGTTAGTGAAAATAATTACATGTTCTGGTTTTATCGAAATAAGCTGGACAGGCCCGTGATGGAGAGACCGTTTGCCTACTTGTGATGTGACTTGTGCAAGTTCCGTTTGCGACAGTCCTTGGTAACAGATTTATTGTTTTCAACCACGCACATACAAACGGGGCCCGACGTGTAACCAGGAAGATGCATGAGTCGGAAGCACGTGTATTGGCGCTTGAAAACAGACACCCACAAAAACAGATATGGATTGATATTCCATCCTTATTCCATCTGTGGATGGTGTACTATTCCATATGTTCCACTCCATCCATGGCAAAGCACGTTCCTAAAATTACTTTGTGCATTTTGAAAAACTCAAAGCCATTGTACTTTTTCATTGTCAAAGAAGGCACAACCTCAAGACTCTGACGGTCTTAAAATCTCTTGTCCATTAATGTAAATTTGAATTTCATCAAACCGTTCAGTTTCAGCGCATCGTTTGTACATGCCTAGTGGAATCAACTCCAAATTGCAGCCAGATCACTTCATTTTCATCCACCTGGACCCAAGTTCAATTTGGAATTTTACAAAATAAAATCCCAACTGCGTCCAGCTTCGACTCTTATAATATTTGTACCTGGGTTTTATACTGTCGTCCTGGCGGCAGGTTTTAAGACGGTCGTTTACGTGTCCGCGGACAATTTTTTTTCATACTTTGTAGGACGACTGGAATCAGGGTGCAAGTAAACAAAATAGACATTCCAAATCCAGACGTAGTCCGTTGCCATGGAAACACTTCCGTTTGTGCTTTTTGGCATTTTAGGCCGGTGTAGGGCTCTGAAAAAATGGTTTTTAGCTTACATTTATAAGTCCACCTAACCAAAATGCAAAAATATTTCACAGATCCACATAAATCATCCTTGCTTCTGCTTGAGAGAAACAATTATGGCTTTAAGTGTCACCCTTCTCTTTTATCAGCTCTCATTGAAGTGTGTTTTTAAAAAATGCAGTATTGACATTTTTTGCCCCACAAAACGTCAACTTTCCAGGCGTCTCAGAATATTTTCCTTTTGGTTGTAATTAGGGCCAACATTATTCTTTTCAGATGTGGTGAGAAAATCTTGGGCAATTCTGTCCTGCTATGATATTGCCTCAAATGTGGTTATTTTTCACAAACCAGAAAATTGCATTTTGGGCTTTTTCCTCTGTTTGAATCAATTATACACAGAAAGAAAGGTACGCTTTTGTGATTCTGTCATTGGTTTCTATGTCTGTTGAGTAACGAATACGCTATAAGATCTATATCCCACCAATCCCTGCATGGCCCATGATAAGTTCTTGGGTTGTTGCTACCCCTATGACTTTTGTACTGTTAAGTGTATATGATTCCTATTGCTAAAGCACACCTTGCCCCAACAACTTCCCACTTTACAACTTGCTTCATGTACAAGTAGCCTTCCCACAGTCTTTTTGTCACCCGCCTGCCACCCAATGTCAAAATTGTTAACCTCCAACAAAGAAGAAACTAAACAGTTTGCACATCCATAGCTGTTGGGAAAAAGTTTCCTAATGGTCAAAAAAATCTTGGGCTTCGAAGTGAGCAAAAAAACTCCCTAAATATCTTACTGGCCAAAATGCCATTTGTACCCACTTCTGTCGGCAATTTCCACATTTGAGGCAAAGCTCCATTGGAGTTGCATCGGTGGAAATATAAAAAGCAATATAAAAAGCAGTATATTTTAAGCATGAATAAATTCAGCCAAAAATTTTGATGACGGTTTCCAGTGGTCCATCTCTTAGATAAACCAAATGCATATGAATTAGTAAAAACCAGATATTACATGCCTGTTTTAACTGTACATATGGCTTTTTCTGCATTTTACTATTTTGGGGAAACATTGGATGCTGCAGACCATGCCTCAAGAACAAAAACCAACAATTTGTGATCTCTGTCTCTATTCTCAACTGTTGCTGCCACTGGTCTGACGTTTGATGCAATATGGCCGTTTCACAATAGTGCGCCACCAAGAGTTTGCAACGCGTTGGCAAATCACAATGCGCGGCATTTATTGACCCATTGCGCGTTTGGAAAGGGTCGACAAATTTCGCGCGTTCTGCTTGGCCAGTGCGTTGCAAACTCTTTGTGGCGCACTATTGTGAATCGCTTGTATTTGACTAAAATAGCTTGAAATCTGTTGTGCCGTCTGTTTCCTTGAGCGTCTTTAATTGCGCACTTTTTTGCAATAACAGCAGGGTCACATTTTGACAACTTCACCAAGGCTGAACATTTCATCTAGGAAACCCCTTTTGTTTTTGTTGAAATGTTTTGACTGTCGACATTTCTGTAAAGCTCAACCTGCAGGCAGGACTAAGTTCTTTGTCGGAGATTACGTTTGCTGCCATACATCGGATGACTCCTGTCCCAACCTGCAATTTGTTATGAAGAGTGTACTTCTCTAACAATCTTGTCATTACAAGTACAATATAACAAACGGTAATTCAAGTCACTGAGCGTCTTTTAGAATTGATGCAGCCTTTTCAGTGCTTAACCAATAACTTTTGAAGATATTTCTCTCTAGAGAAAATCACCCCTCAAACAGTCATGAGGCCCACCGCCATTTAGAAAATGACGCTTTCACTCCATTGCAAAACAGAGCAATTTTTGGAGGGCCCCGTTTTGTCTGAATTTATACAAACTGTCAGTTCTGCTTCTAGATTCCATCCTCCTTCCAAACCACCCAGTCCACCTGCCACGAAATGCTCTTATTGCAGAGAATAAAATTTGACTTATTACTGGCCGCACCATCCGCCTGCTGATTTGGCACAGTAGCAAATAGGTGTAGTACATGTACCTTGTAGTTCAAACTCCTGAACGTTTCCACTAAGAACTAAACTGGGGGTTGATTTGGAGTTTTTGTTTATATTAAATGGAGTTTTTAAAGCTATAGACAAACTTATACGTTGATATTATGCTGTGGTAGGGCATTCCAAAGTAAAATGGCTGCCAGGAGAGAAAAGAGAAGAAAAGAGCATACAGTGATACATGTCGGGCAGGGCCAAAAAAATCAAACAAATTTTAGAATTAAGAAAAGAGTGAATAAAAGGGGATATGTACGACGGTAGACTTCAAACTGCTTGTTGCGGGTTCCCTGATCTGATAGTTTTTGTTTGAAAGTTTAAGGTGTAACGGTATTTATGTCAAGGTCCCTGTTTATGATTTTGCAAACTTGGGCTGGTTAGTCGATGTGTCTGTCGTTTGGACTCAATAGAGTCAATGGCCATCTTGGTCACGCTGGAATTATCTCTACAGTCGCGGTACACAAACCTGGCTGCTCTTCGTTGAACTTTTAAGGAACGTCCCTGTTTTCTTGGCTCATGGGTCCAAGCGATAGAAGCATACTCCAAGTGTGGTTGGACAATGGTTTGGTACAGGTTTGCTTTAACATTCTTTGAGCACTGATAGAAATTTCTTTGCACGAAATTCAGCATCTTAGTCGCTTTGGTTGCTGCGTAATGAGATTGTTTGCCCCATTTAAAGTTGTTTCAAATAACGATATCAAGACACTTTACTCCACGTGACTTCCTTCAGGGTTTCACCGAGTAGTGTTTATGTTGGCTCTCCTGGCTGGTGTTTCTTAGACAGTCTCGTTATTTTACACTTTGAAAGCGTCTCGTGCCCCACTGCCAAGGCACAAGGCTGGTAAGGTCTGTTTGAAAAGAAACTTCGTCCTCATGGGAATTGATGGTTCTGAATATGATGCAGACACGTGCAAAAAGAAAGTGGCTTTTACAGATTCGATGATGTCACGCTATGAAGAGAATACGTTTAAATAGATGCGGGCTTAGTACAGTGCCCTGGGAGACATCGCCGGGGACTGGTTTCCAAGTAGGTGGCGTTCTCCCATTGACAACTATTCTCAGCAGGACGATTGATGAGAAATGATTCGATCCATTATAAGGGTTCGATACTAGAGTATTCACTAGCTAGAATCCTCTCCACCGGTACTTAAGCCCCACACACTCCAGAGTTCGGCACTCTTTCTCCTGAAGACGAACAGAGCACACTGTCCGAAACGTCGAGTGAACCCCGGTTCTTTTCAGAACCACACACACTCAAAGAGAGAATTTGATTTACATGGTGTCACCGCAAACTTCACATAGTTAGCTAGTATCTCTTGCTAGTGAATACTGGCTAGTATCTACCAGCATACACATTCACGCTGTTGACGAGTGATGGGCTCTCCAATTGCCCCTCTCCAAATTGACATCAATTATCCTGACCAATCAAATAATAGGAAGGATAAATAACACCAAGCAGTGAAATCATAGATCGGGTCTACATCCCATGAATCTATTGCCATCATTCACTCTGCAAAAACTGGGTGTTAAGTTTAACACCCCCGGTGTTTTAGAGGACTACAACAACACTTTTCACTGATGTTAAATTCTTTTGTGTTGTTTGGTATTTCTTTTATCACCATCCTGTTCAAATAGTGCACCTAAAGTCTACTAAAAATAAAATTTAATTGAGAGAAAATTTATAACAGCAGTTAGGCTATGTATGAAAAATAAACGTTGAAGTGAGCATTATCATAATTAAAAAAACATCAAAAATATCTTTTAAAAAAAAAAATTTAAAAAATAAAAACAACAAAACAAAACATTGGACTCGGACACAAAGGCGTTCAAGGACTTCTCGGGCAAGAGTCTCGCACGCGCATACCAAACTAGTTAAGCATATTACGTAATAGTGCTGTGTGTTTCCCTTGTACACGTCCGTTTCTCTTGAGACGCTTGCTTTTCAGCGAGTGTCACATGTGACTTGAGCCAACAGTAACTGTTCGTGTTTTCCCCGTGGTTGGTTTCGTGTTTCGATTAATGGGTTGGTTCCATGCCCCTTGCATTGCCGTTAACCGCTCTGAGGTCAGCTGTCACAGTTTCATGATCATGCATGTACATGTACATGTACACAAATGTACATAAATAGCAACAGGCACGCGAGAGCGAGCATTCATTTTGAGTTGATGGTCGCAAGATGGGTAGACAGTTTCTGTCGTGGTGGTGTCTGCCAGCTTTATTTCCTCTGCTTGTTCTGGTTACGCGGAGTTTGGCCCAGTCATGGCCAAGCCACGATGGAGGATTCCCTCCTCTGCAACCGGAACCATCCCCACCAGTCGACGGTAAGTTGAAAGATTTGACTTTAATTCCCCATGAAAGAAAAATCAGTTCCTATGGACAAACTATGTGCCTTCATTATTTGTTTCTCTTGTGAATTTTCCATGGAAGCATTATTTTTGAATACTTTTGCGATTGGAGACTACGTGTATAAACTAGGTAGTATTGCATGCATGTACATATACATGTAGGTCTTTACACAAGTTGTACATGTACGTAACTTTTTGTACGTTTTCCAAGTAGCAGTCTACTACTGCTGGGTGATATCATGCACTTGAACTCACGTATTCAACCAACCATGCCATAGAGACTCTGTACATTGAACCATGGAGGAAAAACACAGTGTGAATACGATCCGAGCATTGCTCGACTGCTGTGCAGGATATGTGTACATGTATTAGACTTTGTAATAACCTTTATCTATTCACCCTTGGCCCGCGTAAGTGCAAACTGCATGTATTGCCACTGATTGGCAGGCTATTAAAGTTATAAATACAATGCACGCGTACACTCCCTCTTTTAATTCTGTCGAAAAAAAATTCCAAAACCATGTTTTGCTGTCTGAAAGAGTTGATCTGCCAGTTGAACTCAAGTACACGTAAAATGTATCAGATCTTAAACGTTATCACAGTTCACACTTTGTAGTACGAGCAAGAGCTCGCATCTAAAACAATGTCAGAAATTTGGTAAAAAGCAGTATTTGTCCCGTTGCGAAGAATGACGTGTGAACTTTTAATGGACTTTTGAAAATGAACTGAAGACTACATAACCTGAAAACTGAGCGGATTTGAGCGGAGAGGCGGAACAAGGAGCCCCATATTCTCAGGGTAACGTGAAAATATGGTCAGATAGCGAACCCGCGAATCAGAAGGAATGGAAGCTATTTCAGGGTTTTGAGAAACATTGTAATTGTGTAGTTTCCGTACTTAGCCGCAAATCTAGGGGAGGGTCTGGGGGCCAAACCCCCCTTGCTCTGAGACCAAAAGAAAAAAAAGAAAAAGATAAAAAAGAGGGAAAATACAAAAGTGACTAAAGTAAGTGCTCCTATACCACTATTAAAACTGTACGTCATTTGTGTTGTATTACCATCGTTTCCGTTTGTCCGCAAATGAGGTATTAAAAAAAATCCCCGGCCTGACCCCCTTAAAAATTTCCTGGATCCATTTTTCTTAGCGTTTTTCTTAACAATTTGTAACTGTATAGCGGCGTCAGACAGTATTTAAAGCAGAAAAAATGATTCACTATACTTTCAGCATAAATTTGTGGATGTCAGAGATGTCCTGGTGCGCTTACATAAAGGTCAGCAGTTGTATGGTTTGTCAGTAATAAACCAGTACCCGTGGGCTGTGGCACATTCCTTTTGTGACACATCAAGGCGCGAACTGGATAAGTGATTGGGCCTGGTATGCGACCAGCTCCACACTACGTCGACGACAGCCGAGGCTGTGACAGGGCAAATATATTACGATCACCGATTGTGTAGACTCCAAACACGGCTTATTATTGTTATTTCTAGAATAAATTCACGGCAAACAAGCATTTCATTTTTTGTGACCTGTAATTGACATAATCTTGTCTAGCCAGCTCCCGTAATGATGGTGGGTTTTACATCAAGAGATCTCGACATGTGGATTAAATACATATATAGGGATACGATCGTGTATCGTCGGACTTCTTGTATATGCAGCAAGAGAGGATAGGTTTCTTCATGCAGATAATTCTAGCTTGGGCAATTCCGTCCCTTTGAGGAAGTTGGATGCTTACTGCACCGACGTCAAGGGAGGAATCCACTCTGATTAATTAAAACAAACTCCTACATGTTTACATAAAAATGACTAGCCCCCAAAACTTAAATCTTTATTAAAATCAACCAACTGAAATACATACTGATAAAATTACATATACTTTAAATTTTACATTTTATCCACTCAACAAGGCAACAGCAGTAAACCTCTAATATTATAATAAGCTCAGTTTTCATCTCGAATTACCAAACTATTAATCAAGGCCAAGAAACTGATGTGCGGTCTACTAATACCAAGAAAACACAATTATTAGGTGAGTCAACTCCTGTATGCACAAGGTCACCATCTGGACTGATCTGATCGAACCGCAGAACTTCATGAACGTTCTGGTTCGGTCTACAAGGGATGGGTCTTGTTACCATGGTGATGTTCTCACTAGTTAAAGTGGCAGTATGAGTATGCAAGCGATTCGTTCAAAGTACATAATGTAACACTTAAAGATAAAGGAGAAAGCTTTGGTTATGTAGGTCCAAGAAGATAGCCAAAGGCACCTCCGGTCTTCAAAAGGCATGGCCGATTAGACGAAAACGGCTTCTTAGCAGGGTGGTGGTGGCAGGTGCTCAGTACCCGTGTGCGAGCGGACAGCCGAACCGGGAAATACACACCGAGGCAGTAGCGTATGAGGGCACGATGCAAAGCGCCAAGACACCTGGCCACGGTTTCAGTGATCGCCAGGGCATCGCAGCTGTAGAGCAGAACTGTCTTGACTGTTGACTTAAAAAGCTGCATTTTGACACTGTCGCAGGCTGCTCCGTCCCAAATAGATGTAAGTTTTCGGGCAGCGATCCAGGCCAACCGTCGACGCCGCTGAACGGCGCTTCTACTGTCTACCACGTTGCAACTAAGGTAACAAAGGTCCTCGCAGGCTGCAAGGGCAATGCTGGTTTTTGTGTGGATGACAGAATGTGGAGTGTCTCCGACGTACATGACCTTTGTCGTGCTGGCATTGAGTCGTAGACCCATTGCTGTCTCGAAACGCGGATGTAGTTGGCGTTGTGCTGCCTCCGCATCATCATCGGACATTAGCCTGGGAAGGCAGTCCTTCTAGGAGAAGGAAAACCCTGATCTCGAGCCACTACTGCCCAGCGACTATATCCACTCACGGAAAGGCTTCAGAAGTCAACCTCAGGGCTCTCTCTCTCTCTCTCTCTCTCTCTCTCTCTCTCTCT